CACTTACTGTAACAAGAAACAAACCCTATAATAACTGACCACTTACTGTAACAAGAAACAAACCCTATAATAACTGACCACTTACTGTAACAAGAAACAAACCCTATAATAACTGACCACTTACTGTAACAAGAAACAAACCCTATAATAACTGACCGCTTACTGTAACAAGAAACAAACCCTGTAATACCTGACCGCTTACTGTAACAAGAAACAAACCCTATAATAACTGACCGCTTACTGTAACAAGAAACAAACCCTGTAATAACTGACCGCTTACTATAACAAGAAACAAACCCTATAATAACTGATTATAATAACTTAGAAATAAGTCGCTTACCGTAAACACATTCTTATTTCGAACATTTTATATACGTGAAAAGACTATTTTCACACACTTTTTCTAAATGGTTTGTATTCGTAAAAAATGCACAACTCTTTACAAAACTAAAATACACCAAAGTCATCAGAAATGTTATATTACCATCTGCATCTGTTATTGTTCCCAAGATTACAGTGACCTGGAATAGTAGAGTTTCAAAGTTAAAATACAGTATAGAGTTTATTGAAATTGCTCGAGTTTCTTATTGAAAACTGTTGGTTTCTTGCTTTATTTTGTGTACCTGGAGTTCGTTCCTGCATGTTAGATTCATTGTATTGTTCCTTTCTTTTCAGTACGTAAAGAAAACCAAGAAATCTACCGTGTATGGTCTTCCACCTCTGCGCCACAAGAGGGCGCTCAGGGTGCTATCTTCAACCAAACCGTTAGTTCTACCGGGCGACCAGGATGATTATCTTCCACTTCAAAGTAATGAACGTTTCGTTTACTTTAAAAAGAGGACACTTTTACACCGTAGAACAGCTTTCTAAATGTCATCAACCGAGTACCGTGTTTTTACAACGATATCATAATAATTGCATCGCATAGTAACAAGATCATGGCTTCCTAGATTAGATAACTATATAGCACTTTGTTAAAGACTGGAGCGCTGCCTATTGGTTTTCGTGTGAACGAAAATTGTATATTAAGATAGTTTCGTAATATCGTGGTTTTGTTCCAGTTTCACGAATAGAATTTGTAAATATATACATATGAATATATATGTGTGTGTGTATACTGGTGCCTTTAGGTGCTAAAATCAAATAAGCCTAGTCAAATAACATAGCGATAGAACAATATAAGTACTGAAAATAGTATATTATTTTGTATCTATTGTTAAAATGTTTTAATTTTGTTTATAGGAGCATAGAAAGTAGTATTAGAAATAGCACCTCGATGGGTGCTGTGGGTGCTTTCGCCAAGTAATTTACTTGGTCTAAGTCATCCTTTCATTCCAGTTTTGTAGCTAAATAAATAGATATTCTACATATTATCTAAAATATTCAAATATTTCGTATTTTAATTAATCGTTGTTGTCTTTCCATTAAACGATAGTTTTATTTATTCAAATCGTCGAAGAATCTTCTTGTTTTTTATTATATAAAAAATCAACGTTATGGTAACGAAGAGATCCTAGTTAAGGAGGGGTTGTAAGTAAATATCACGAAGAATGTTACTTTCAACCGTACAGTATATACAATTTCTTTCCTTTTTCTGTCGTTGTTATTTTATTAGTAGTAATTATCAACTCCATGTAGCACTGGCATTTTATTGTTAAGTCAAACACATTATGTAAATTTGCTATAAAGTAAAAGGAGACTTTGTAATAAATTTGAAAGCTATGTATTTCAACTATTATTGACTGAAAACTAAAATATTTGAAAAATCTTGCTTAATTGTAAATTTAATGCATAAAGGCACCACAAACCTAGTGATTAAATATCTGGCTTTTTAGGTATGAAGGATCACAGTCAGAATGTATGCTACTTTAATTGTAAAGCACATTTTATTTTGAGTATTTTCCTTTTTTCGAGCTTGTGAAGGCCCTTTTTTTTCTTAAAAAACTATCTTTTCTGCCTTTCCAATTTCATCGCTACTCTTAAAGATAGAATGAAAAAAAACACACACACACAATAAACACAACAACAGAAGTTTGAATGTTGAAAAATAGCTTAATAATAATAAGAATTTTGAATTTAAATGTTATACAATATCAGCAACAGAGAAAACACTTCAATTAATTTCATAAATATTAATTTATAGAAAAATATAGGTTTATCGATTTTTAATATAGTGCCACTTACATTTCCTTTTACACTGACCGACATAGTAAAACAAATAACTTGTCGAAAGACATTTATGTAAGGAAAAACAGCAACAACAAAAAAAATAAACACACATACATGGCAGGCTTAACGAATCACTCGTTCGTTACTTTACCACTGGCGTTGTTTTACGTTACAGAAGGTAAACATAGATTTGTTGTAAACAGTATAAGATTAATGTTCACCTCTCGCTGAAGGATGTTTCGCATGCCCTCTTTTCATCACACAGTAAATATTTTTTCCCACACAATTGACTTGTTTATAATAGAAAATATTCTACAACTTCTAAGTCACGAATCATTTGTGTTTGCGTGACCATCAATAACAAAAAATAACAGCATATCATTAAGCCTATCGTTATTGACTTTTTAGACTAAATTTGTTAGCGTAAAAACATACATTTTTATGATGTTATAAAATAACTATCTTAACCTATCATACCGTGGAATTTGTTTGTTTTAACCCCAAAACTGAACTAGGCCAAGTTTAATTTTGTTGTTTGTTTTCAAAGAGAGTAAATGAATCATTCTGATTGGGTATATATATCTATATTTCTTGTTCTATTCAAGTATTGAACTGAAGCATACAATATCTACAGAGAATTATTTTTAAGCTGGATTCCAGGGTTTGTATTACAAGAAAAAGTGTCCACACTTCCAAACGATCGAACGGAATTACAACTAGTGTTTAATTTCATTGCTCAAGATGTATAAAACATTTTAGATTGATGAAAAAATACAATGATATCGATTTTACTGCAGCTTAGATTTTAGTTAGCATCTTCTTGACGTGTGTAAATAGGATAATAAATAGTACAATACATTATTTATATGTGTATTTTGTCTTAATTTCTACAAATGGATCGAAGTTACTGAATTATTGTAAAATACACACCACACGAAGTCCAAGCTATTATTTTAGCAAACCAGTCTGCGAGCAGTGCCGGACTTAGGCATAAGCTAAACAAGCTACAGCTTAGGGCCTCACAATCCGCAGGGGCCTCACAAAATTTCAGATTTTTTTTGTATATATATTAATATATCTTAAAATTATTTTAAAAATTACATTTAAGTATTGTTTCCAGTGTATACTATATTATAATCTATGAGAGAGATCAAGCCAGCCAAATGATAAATATGTAATCAGTAAATGCATTCATTTGAAAATAATTAGTATTTTTCACTTTAAATACCTTGCTATTAAATAATTAATAGGTATATATATGTTTTAATTTTTTTATGGCGACCCAAGGTCCTGTTTTGTTTTGTGAGACCTTCTGGTGTAAGTTTTTAACAAGGGCCTCCAAGCTTTATAAAGCTTAGGGCCTCGCCAAGTCTAAATCCGGCACTGGGGACGAGATGAATATGTCACCAACATATTTGTATACGAGGTATAATAATAAACATATATTTATTATATAATCTTAAAATTTACTATTATGAAATTTGGAAAAGTTACATTAATATCAGATTAAATACAAAATAAGACATCTGATGGAGCAGTCCTTCAGTGGCACAGCGGAATATCTGCTTACATCGCTAGAAACCGGGTCTCGATACCCGTAGTGGGCAGAGAACAGATAGTCTATTGTATACTTTGTGTTTAACTACAAACAAACAAACTGATGGAACAATAATCGTTGACAAATTTTAAAACTTATGTAATCCTAAATATTGTTACGTCTCCGATCGTTAGTTAATTTTCCGTATAATTTCTTTCCGAAGAAACTTTAGCGATAAAAGTCCTTTCTTAAATAAAACTGGTTTATTCTTTCTGAATACAACTTTGTAATATA